TCATTTCAAATCTTTCACATTCGGGGTATTCACAATTGTGTCGTTAGTATCGTATTGTTGTATGTCGTAGACTTTAAATGGCTAAAAATATATTTAGGGGGTTCTAAAGGTACCATAAACGTCATATTATGAAATTTCACACAGTAAAAAATAATTTCGTTGTCTATTCAAGTCCTAAGGCGTAAGGCAATACGACACTTACAACACCTTGTAAACCACCTAATTGAGTACTATTTAAGTAAATAATTTGCTGTATATTTTAAGCGCCAATCACTTGTGACCATTCTTTAAGTATTACCGTCATCGGAACTGGACCCGCGGGGACGACCCTTTGGTTGGTATTTCATTTGCACCTTGCGATTTATACCAGAAAAGTGTCCGTACCTGAATGATAATGTGTTTATAAATACAAAAAGAATTTAAAAACAAGCACGCGTGCTTACATTTCCAATACATTTTTCAGCTGTTCCAGTTTGCTTTCCTTTTCTTGTATTTCAGCGTCCGCGGACTTGTTTTGTATTTCCGATAGCAAATATCTCGCAATGTCTAAAATCTCTTGCAATTGTTTTGGACGTTTCAATTTAACGTGACCATCCTTATAGCCATCATATTTGTCAAATATCTCGAAAAATCTGTGAACGAGATGAATATACAAACATACATACATATGTACATATTTATACAATGTTAATATATTTTGAATTTTGTATTACTTAGGATGCCGCACTTCAAGCTTCATTTTTTGTTTAGGCGTACGATCGCCGTGTCTTATTACCGCAACCACACAACGCAATTCCATCATTTTGCCAAATGTTGTCGGCACAATGGGCGGATCGTCCAGTTGGAAGGGTACAAGCCACGGTATATGCAACGTCGGCGTGAGCTCACGCAATATCATATTACCCAGTATCTTAGCGCAATCATCGTAATACTTATTTGAGTTCTTAACGAAGCTGAAGCCATTAACGTCGCATACGTAGGATTTACCATTTGCGCTGTGCCATGCAAAACAAATCAAACATTTTATTTACTATATAAAATGAAATGTTTTTCTTGCTAAACAAATTTCAATATGCTCACCGCAGTAAATCAAAGCCGCAGACAGTCTGCTTAAAAGCCAAACAAACCTTGCGCGAAATAAGCTTCTCTGCATTGTTTAAGATTACCGGATATCGAATCTCTTTGCCTTCGCTATCCCGCTCCACTTTTCCGTCCAACGCAGGAGACTTTCGAGCTTCGGCGTGTGCATAATCCGGACCGACTGTGTACACCTTAACGTCCGTACCTGAAAAGTATACTAAGTTTTAAAAGTAATGCTGGATTCTTAGTAGATCTTAAAGGTGCTAAAAAGTCTAAAGAGACGCCTGAGCTGATGAGCAAAAAGTAGCAACTGAAACTGAGCTGAATTAATGTATGCAATGCAATGTTATTAGTCGTGTTTACAATGTAATTTATCATGATGACTACGAACATGCATTCACATATATTCATATGTAAATACATACAAGGTGTAATTTTTTCAAAATTGTCGTGCATTTCAAAAACAGACTCCAGAGTGATCCTTCCGACATAATAAGTGTATTTTTACTTGTCTTTTGCAAATGAATCTTAATATCTTAAAGATACATATGTATATACATAATTTAGACATATCGTTCAGATTTAGGGGACGTTCAGCTCAAAAATAATTAAAAATTAAATAACCGTGAATCTCCTAACCGTTTTCCGATCTCTAAAGCGCGGCCGATTTTGGATCAAATACTCGTTTTGAGAACATATCAAAACCAGGTTTTAAATGCCGGCTGTTATACGCAAAGGTAACAAACACTGTGGGTAATATGGAGCAAAATAAAAAAAAACTATACAAAAAAATTATATAGTGCATTTTCGAAAATACTCCTTTACTTTAACGCTCATATCTTCAACGTTACTTAAGTAATGTTATTGAAGTTTTTGAACATATAATTAAAAATGTGAATGTGCTGTGAAGTGCGAAAGCTACCATTTGAAGTGCATGGTGGGATTACACCTTTCTTCATATGGGCGTTTCCAGCGGAAGGTGTACCGGGAAAAAAATAAATAAAAGTCCTATATCTAACTTATTTGTAGGCCGATTTGGCTGCTTGGAGCGCACTGGTGCACAAGGGCATATTAACTTTATTCTCATAACGGTTGTTTTATATACACAAATTCTCAGAATGAATAGAAAAATCAATTAAGCCATGTCTGTCTGTCTGTCCATCCGTCCGTCCGTGTACACGATAACTCGAACAAAAATTGAGATATCTCAAGACTGAAACCACACCCAGTTGCCATATAACGGTATTTTCGAAAAATGCAAAAACTGCGATATTTCACTAAATATTGGATCTAAATTGTAGAAAATTAGTATGTGAAGTAGAATTTTGTTAAAAAATAATAGATATTGTTATGAAATTTTTGGAAAATAGGCGTGACCCCGTCCACTTATGATGCAATGCCGTATCTCAGTAGCCGCTTCACCAATTCTGACCAAACTCGGTAAGAGTCTTGCCTAAGGTCCGGTTAAGAAATCTGTTAAAAATCTTTGAAATCGGGCAATAGCTCCGCCCACCTCCCATATAACGGTAATTTACAGGAATACGATATCTGCTCTAGTAACTCTAGTAGTTGGTGGTCCAAAAATGCATGTAAAGAAGTATGCTCTCACGCCCTACGATTGTTCTATACCTAAAAAAATATAACCCTATTTTTTAATTTGAAATCAAAAAAATATTTAGAGGTCGCTCAATGCGCTCAAAGTTTTCCACGTATTTATATTTTTGTCATAGAAATGGTAGAGAATTCTTTAAAATCAATATTTTCGACCAGAAAACTCTGTTTCTCTTCAGAAGATTCCCAATAATAATACCCGATTATTTTTTTTAACAATTTTTTCATAGTAACTATAGTTTATAGGTCCGCCAAAACCACGAAAAAATATCTTTAGTATTAAAAAAATGATTAAATAAACAATTGGATATTATTAATGGAAGTCTCATGAAAAGAACCAGAGTTTTCCGACCGAAAAATATTGATTTTCAAGAATTCCATATCATTTCCACGAAAAGTTGTTTTTTCCCCATATAAAATACATGGACAAACTTGAGCACTTTAAGCGACCTCTAAATATTTTTTGATGTCTAAACAAAAAAATAGGGGTATACTTTTTTCGATATAGAACAATCTTAGGGGGTGAGAGCATTATATTTCCGACTTTACTTATATTGGACCACCCTTTTGTCTCGATTTTTTTAAGGGTTTTATAATTGTTTGTTAAGTTTTTTTTTTAATGAAACGATTCTAACTTGAATTTAGTGAAATTATAAAAAATGATACTAATTCCCTCAAAAATCATGGATATGAAAAATATAAGCTGTAGATACAGTGGCGAAAATATAAATGGGGAATAGACTTTTTAGCATTCTTTGGCTATTCCCCTTTCGCTTATTTAATGTTTATGGGAGGTTCCATGGGAAACTGAACTTCAGTGCAAAAATTATTTTCTTTATAAAACGAATAAACGTGGGGATAAGACATTTGTTGAACCAACCAAAAAATAACAAATTAAAGCTTTAAATGCATTTTGACTGCCTTTTTTTTACGTTTTAAAATCAAGTTCTAAGTAAATTATTTTAAAGAGTTTAAAGTAGGTTGTGTTGAAACCACTTTTGCGACTTGTGGCGTGCGCCTTGATTTGTCACACAAAGCGGAGGCACCTACAGTTTTACGCCGACTCCGAACGGCGATTGTATTTTTATGAGAAGCTGTTTTTCATGGCAGAAATACACTCGGAGGTTTGCCATTGCCTGCCGAGGGACGACCGCTGTTAAGAAAAAACCTTTTTCTATATTTTTTTGCGATGTTGCTTTGACCAGGGTTTGAACCCAGGTGCTGATGAGTGAAAGCGCGCACTGCTTACCACTACACCACAGCGGCCGACATATAGTATAGTATAGAGTTATTATTAAGCAGGATTGGTCTTGTCACACCCGTGACAAAAAAAGCTAAAAGTTGTTATATTTAATTACAGAAGTTTAAGTTGTGTTTCGGGTTTTTTACATAATGTTAGAACTTTATTGGAAATGTTTACCACAATTGAATTTTCGTTTCCACATAGAGAGTAATTCAACAGTGAAGCATGTGAGCGCGAACTCGCCCACTACTTATATACACTTTTGGTCAGCTGATTAATTTAAGTGATATTTTCATCCCTTGTCAAATTTGGTTTGGAGACAAACCGGTTTCGGCGTTGTGCCATCTTCAGTGTAATTTTTCGTTCTGAATAGTTCGTGTTTCCGAAGACTAACATCAATGAACCCTTCGGCCCCTCCAATGATTTCATTACCTAAAATACATAAACCAGGTAACCCGATGAGACCGATTATTAACTACAGATCGGCTCCGGCATACAAACTCTCGAAATACCTGAAGATCATACTAAAGAACAAACTAGAGTTACCCAATAAATATATAGTCACAAACGCGGCAGAGCTTATAGAAAAGATGACGCCCTTACATATCACTAATAATACTAAATTGGTATCATTTGATATAAAGGATCTTTACCCGTCAATACCAACAACAGAGACAATGGATATTTTATTTAGAATATTACGCGGCAAAACGGAAAAGAAAATCGCAAAAGAAATTATCAATACTTTGAAGACTACGATAAACCAAAATTATTTCCGATTTAACAACAAAATATACAGGCAAATAAATGGACTAGGAATGGGTAACCCAACATCGGCTATACTCATGGAGGTGTTCATGCAAAGCCTAGAGGAGAAATATATGGAGCATCTCACAACCAATTTAGGGGTCAGCTTCTACGCTAGATATGTGGACGACATAATATGCATAATAACGGGGGACAAAGAGGAGCAGATATTAGACTACCTTAATGAACAACACAAAAATATAGCATTCACGATGGATAAGGAAGAGAAAGGAAAACTCAACTATTTGGATCTAACTATTAAAATAAACAAGACCACCAACAGACTGGAATACGAGATATACAGAAAGCCCACAGCGACCGACACAGTAATACATGAAACCTCTAACCACCCACAACAACACAAAAACGCAGCATTTAGACAATTATTAACTAGACTTGAGCGAACCCCGTTAACTAAGGAAGCACACAGGAGAGAGCTAGACACAATATATGCTATCGCCAGAAACAATGGATACAAAAAAGATCTGGTGGACAAAATTAGAAAGGACTCGAAACGAAAAAGTAGGGACAAGAAAGAAAACAAAGATGCAGCTTGGGCAGTGTTAACTTACACGGGTAAAATGACGTACAAACTGGCCAAGGTTTTCCAAAAATTCAACATTCGCACATCGTTCAGAACCAGGAACAACGTCGGAAGGATACTGAACCACAGAACAAACGAAGAGGACACTCTAGATAAGCAGGGTGTATACAAATTAACGTGTGAATGCAAGTGTAGCTACATAGGGCAAACTGGCCGTAAGATTAAAACAAGGTTCCGAGAACATATAAGAGACTACAATAAGAGGACACAAAAACCAAGCGTCACGCCAGAATCAAACTTCGCAAATCATATGTTCGAAAATAAATGTACACCAATGAAAATTAATAAGGCAGCCAAACTCCTCCATGTACAGCATAAAGGACGGCGTTTGAACATATTGGAAAACATGGAGATATATAAGCAGAAAACATTTCAAGGGAGAATTATAAACGAACAAACAAACACCGTATCCGATGTAATATTCGAACCACTCAAGATGTTATACGAAAAATATGAGAAGACCCCGGAAAAAAAACGCCAACGCGAAGATACATACCTACGCCGCAGAGACCATGAAAATGAAAATAACGGATTTCTATCTGCCGGCACAAGCAAGCAACCTAATACCTGCTAAATAACGGAACATAAACCGACGCAATCACGAAAACCAAGAAAATAAAAATAACGGATTTCTACCCGCCGGCGAATACAAGCAACCAAAAAGCACCAACCTGTGAGATAATGAAACAAAAGCGGTCGCACTTAGATGGGTATGCATGACCTAATGACAGTTAAAACAGATAGTAACACGAATACATAAAAAGCGGAAGGAAACACGAACTATTCAGAACGAAAAATTACACTGAAGATGGCACAACGCCGAAACCGGTTTGTCTCCAAACCAAATTTGACAAGTGATGACCGAAAATCGTTCCACAATACATCATACTCCTACCCTGTCGGAAACACAAACAACCAAAAAGATGACATTTTCACCAGTTTTGGTTTTTTC